GAAATGTGTTGCTCCCATAATAACTTTCAAAAATTATTTGTATATGTTTGGTTTTCTATTAATAATAATTACCATAGCTTGAAACAATGAGAATAGACCCTTTACTGTTTTTTAATACTATAATATACTTCTATGTCTAAACAATCCGCCATAAAAAATTATGGATTTAACAGGATCATATTCTACAATTCAGAAAAAATCTTTAAATTAGCAAGAATATTTTCAGATTAAATATTAGATATCATAGCATTTCAGTCTGTTAGGTAACATTTCACATCCTTTCAAAAAATTCTTGTAAACATTTACAGAATTCAGAGACATTAGAATTAAAAAATGTGCATGATATATATTTTTATATATTACATTTATTTTCTATTTTAGAAATGTCTGATAATCTAGAATCGTTGTACGGTCGGCTGAAATTTTCTGAGGCAGTGCTCAGTGACACAAACATCAGTCAGGTGACTAGTTCTTCACAAGACAACTCTGATGTGCTATTTGCATTAAAGCTGAAATGGAAAACGTTGGAAGAGTGGGCGAATGAACTCCGCGGGACAACCCATGAAATTGAGCTACAGTATGTTGCCTTGTTAGATCTTTCTATTGAAGGTCATCCAGTTTGTTTGAAAAAAGAATCCCCTCGGCTTGGTTCACTGTTAAGAACAAGAAGTCAGAAAGTTAAAAAAGCACTTTCAGTCATCAAGAACACAAAAAAGAAGGAAGAAGCTCGTGAAAAAGAATGGAAAATCCATATTTACAGAAGTGATATTGTTAGCTACAACAATATCAAAACAGAATTGAAGAACCTGAATGAGATGCAGTCGCAAAATGTCAGAGACTTGAACACCGCAAAAAAACAAATCATCGAAGAAAAGTTGGTAAACAAACACCTAGAACAATATATAAACACAATACAGGGTAAAGGTTTGTGCAATGGTAGGCAACTTTGTGACCTCAAGGAGAAACAGAAGAAAAGAAAATTGAAAACACTTAAGTCTAAACTAGAAGTTTCACTCTGGTTTATGAAGAGTTTTGGGCTTACAGTGCAAAACCTCACAGCAACATCGGATACAAATTCAGATGTTATTTTTAATTTTGTGGCCGACAACATTGTGGAGGAAAAGATACAACCCGAAAGCATAAGAAACAATACTGTTCCTGACGTTGCTGCCAGCGAAAAATTGACCAGTTTGTCTGAAGACAAATTAATAGAGTTATTTGAACTGCAACATTTGTTAGATAAATTCTGCATTTCAAACGAGGCCTACCATGAAATGACCATGACAACCTGTGGTAAGCAGCTGCCGAGAAGTTATCTAATTAAGCAATGTCGAAAAGATTTGAATGACGTTACTCACATTGAACCGGTCCCAGAAGGATATGGTGCACAGAGAAATTTCAAGGACCTGCTTCGAAAAGAGATCAGAAAGTTTTGGAGTGAAGAAAACAATGATCAGAGGACTATTAAGGTATGTGTTTGTTTGCAATACTATTAACTCAGATTTATTAAATTATATATGTACACCAGGTTTCATGAAGGCATGGATTTGTTCCTTATAAAATATATAGAAATATCCATGATTGTTTATAAATTTTAAATATTGATTTCAAACTCAAGCAAATGAATACCACCTGTATAGAACTCAGGTAACCTTTAACCCTATTCTATGACACTTGCTCACTTCCATTATTCAACGCTCTTTGCCAATCAATAATGTTACTGCTTGTACTTTTTTGTTCAGTGAACAAATTACTTTAAAACATTCATCGCAGTAAATCGAGTAAGGTATAGGTATTATCTGTTGGGATAAATGTCTGTAAGGCCAGACCAAACAAAATTCTTGTTCATCGGATATTTCTTGTAACAACCTTTGAGTGGCGAATGTTGGAAGCAAGAGCAAAGTTTTTTTTTTGGCTTAAAACAGAAATGAAGAGTGATTTTTTTTGGGGGGGGGGCTTAAAAAAGTTGAAAGTGGACAAAAGTTGCAAGTGAAGCAGAAACTTGTGTGTGTCATGTATGAAGTGCATATTTAAATAAAAAAACACCATAAACGTGCAAAAATAGAATCTTTTTTATGAAGCAATGCAGATAAGATAGCAGTAGACATTGCTGTCATAAATAGAGCAACCGACTGATCAGATTAAAGTATTTTGGAGACGCACAGACATCTGTCAGCCTGAAGTGTCGCACTTTGCGAGAGTCTCGTAACAGCGCCACCAATGGTCGAGTGAATTTTTAATGCAAATTAAAAAAATCAAAAATGCGATATGATAGGTATGCACAGGTCCGATGAACAAGTAATTGTTTTGGTCTGGCCTAAAACAATTTCATGCCTTCATGAAACCCATTATATCATATATTTTATTGTTGCTGCTCTCAAGTTTGGAATTCAAAAATTCTTATGAACACAAAACAATTAAGTTGTGCAAGTGTTCAATAATTCCTGGTATATTTACACAGGTATGCATGAATTTATATAAATTGCTGTCATATTTGTATGCTGTTGCTGTGTTCTGTATATATTCCATGCTCCATATTTTACAGACTTATTCATACCGTATCTTTTTCAGGTAAAAATAAGTGGTGATGGTGCGCAAATGTCGCGAAGTGCCAACTACAACTTTTTGTCATTTAGTATACTCAATAGAGGAAATCTTGTTAAGAGTGCTCAAGGTATGGTTGAAATAGGTCTGGCTTTAATGCATTTTTTGTTGCTGTACATTTCATTCCATGTTGTAGATATTGTTTGCATGGAGATGTTATGAATTGTTGTAGGCATGGATGACAATATCGGGAATTTATTTCTAGGAAACCATACAATAGCTTGTGTCAAAGGGAAGGAGTGCTATGAGACAATAAGGGATTCCTTCAGAGATGCTATTACTTCAGTCAATGAGATGGTGTCCAACCCAACCATTACAATTGACGGGAAGTCTGTAGACCTGGATTTTTATCTTGGTGGTGATTATAAGGTACATTTACCCTTCTCATGAAGACACATTTTAAATGGAATTGAGTAATATAGCTTTGTTGTAATTATACACAATACACTATTTGATGATAATTTCAATTTTATTCTAAATATTATTTTCTCTAGTTTATATTGATGGTATTAGGTTTGAAAGGAGCAACCAGTAACTATGCTTGTGCCTGGTGTTATTGTTCAAAAGATGAGAGGTAAGAGTCCAACATCATTTCATGTTAAATTATCAAATTCAGTTCTGTATTCGATGTGGGATCTTGCTCAGTAAATAGTATTGTGACAGAATTCAGATTTCAGGGGTGTTGTTTGTGAATCTCTGAATTAAGTCTGGGTGTCTGGTTTCCTTTTTGGCTACTGAACTGCTAGGTATACAAATGTCAATTGGTAGCATGGCAAGTTATACCCAACAAATATTATCAAAATAAACACTAGTGAGTCACCCGGGAATGATTTGTCACAATAACTGGAGTATACAAATAACACACCGGCAATATCCAGCATCTTTGTATAAAAACATATTTAGTACGAGTCAGTTTACACAACAAAAATACAGTTCAAATGGGTTAATGTAAAATAATAATGTTGATCTAAATACTAGACTGAATACAAAGGTAGACTACTTTTTCCTTTCATCTGCTCTGGTCATCATTACAAACAAATTTAGCAATTCAGTTTTCTAGACACAGTGTAACTTGTTTTGAAGTATAAATTTAACTCCTTTTTTATGACTGACAGCTAAATGACATGATTCATATCGCTATTTTGTTCAGAGATGCACAGTATTGAACTTGTTGTTCCTGTATATACATTCTAACCTTGGACCTGATCTTGCATCCTGCACAAGATCTTATAGCTTAATTCAATGTTATATTTAGTTCATCACATTCCTATATGAATACTTGTATTACCAATCATGGTTTTGCCATGAATTTATTCATCATCTGCATTCATGAATATATATACAAGTAATTACAATCAATCTCTTATTTCAGACACGATATGAGTAAACACAATGATTTCTGGAATGAGCCACCACATTGCAGAGATTTGGACAGTTTAATCCGCTTGAAAGGTGATTTCTCCATTTATCAAGACCCATTATTCAATATCCCATTGAAAAATGTTGCGGTTGATGAGCTACATCTTTTACTAAGGATAATGGATATTCTGATTAGAGCAGTGGTATTAGAATGCCATGAACTAGACTTAAATGTAAGTTATTTCATGCATTTTTGATTCATAATTATGAAACTTCCAAGGTATGTTTTCAGGAGATACATGCTGGACCTACTTAATGCCTTGAATGCACTATTTTACTGTAGGAGGTAATTCTCACAACACCATTAATTGTATGACGGTCACAGTCATTGTAGAAAGGGTTTGGTGACATTGGTCATGCAATTATTTTGCCCGTCACTATGTCATTTCAAAACATATCCTATTGTCTGTTTTCTTTGTAGGAGAAGAAAAATTCATTAAAAGCACTTCTTGATGCTGTCAATAATAAGGTGCATGTGACTTTTTCAATATGGCAGAAAAAAGGATCTGCTGAACTTGATTGGACAAGTCTGACAGGTGATAGTAAGAAAAAACTATTAAAGACACTACCAGAGTATTTTGAAGGATTTTTAAGACCAGAAACATCAGCTACAGTTAAGACTATATGGCAGGTCAGTACTTATCAATGCATTTATAACAGTGTATGAAATGGGCTCATGGGATGTGTGCGACTTGAAGCTTGCCATACTTTTAAGACACTGGTGTATGCTCATCGGCTATATGCCTTAATCATCTTGTGACAATAATTTAATAAGTAGGTAAATACAATGGATTCAATGAAATAAAAACAATTCTTACATAAATAATTGTTTATCAAACTGTATTGGTGCATGTGGTTGGATAGTCAGTAATTTATCTTTTCGTGACATGTACATCTGGAATGCGCGTTGACTGATTACAGTCTGTTGTTTATCAAACATTTCCTGAATAAAAATTGCACTTAAACTTATAAAACACTGACCCCTTCAATCTATCCTGCAAAGCACCTGCTTCTAATGATCCAAATCTAGAGTATGACATAGGAGGATGTGCTCACACGTGACTGTGGTAACACCCCTTTTGATTGTAAACTATTTTGAATCATTTCATACCACCTGTATTGAATACAATCTTGACTTGACTTTTTTAATTTTAGGAATTCAGTAAGCTCTATGAGCTAATGAAATCAAAACCTGATTATGCCATGTTTCAAGAAAAAGCTAAGGAGTGGATCAGGCTGTTCCAGTCTTTATCGACAAAATGCACAGGTTACCAGAAGGAACGAATTACTCCTTACATGCATATATTGGCATATCATGTACCAATGATGATGAAGATACATGGAGATATCACACTGTTTACTGGGCAAGGCAAGTTAATTTTTGTAATTCAGACAATATTCCTTCAATGTTGTTTTAATAAATCTGAACTTGTCTGAAATATGTCAATATCAGCCTTATTATTTAGTGTTTCTTGTTTTACTAGGAGTTGCACTAAACTATATTTTGCTACTAATAGTAGCGCATGTATTTACGTAAATTTGAGATGTTTACAATTTTTTTTAGTGATTTAGTGATCATCATACAGCTAATTTTTGGTTGATGTACATACATCAGAGATGTACATCAAATAAATTTTGGCTCTACCATATTTGCTTTATTGCAGTAAATGCAGTAGGTGTGATGTGATTGTCATAGAACGAATATGGTATTTCAACATAAACAAAACACTTAATTAATTGTAGTAATTGTATAATTTGAACTATATGTATTAATTCTATTACAGGTGTTGAGAAAAACAATGATGAAGGAAGAAAGGTTTACTTTAGAAGAAGTAACAAAGCAGATGCCCCAGCCGATATTTTACTGTCGGAGAGTAGACAAGATGCTCTGTGCTCTATGCGCAGAAAAAGCAGAGAATACTGTAAAAGGACGCAAAATTACTGGAGTGAAGGTATTTACAGTTTAAGAAACACAAGACCCTGCATCAGTAGTACTAATGTGTCCACATGTGAAGTTTCACTACCAGATTTTACAGACCGGGTTTTAACGCCTTCAACACCCAGTGACAATGAAGCAAGCTCTCCAGTTATGGAAGGTGCAGCCACAGAGTCTGCTACTCCTCTTTCCAGAGCAGATGTTTTAAAAATGACTGTCCTGGCTTTGAAAGAACAGTGCCGAACCAATCACCTTGGAGTATCTGGAAATAAGAGGACACTTCAGGAGAGACTTATTAAAGGATTGAAACTAGAGTGATTTATACTAAATATTGTGCACTTGGGGTGGGGGTGTTAAAAATGGTTGAAACATGTTTTATTTTAATAATTTATTACATAAAAACAATTTCAAAAGCAACAACAGTAGTTCTCTTTTTGGAGTATGTGGTGGCCCTGAAAAGGGCAGTTTTGTTTGTGTGAACAGTCCACTAGCACCAGTCTTTGCTTATTCTAACAGCTATGCATTCCATTCTGTACACCTCCTTTGTGACATCTTTTTCACTCACATAAATGTGGGGCTTGCTCGCCTTTAGAATAGCCCGCATCTCTATGTTGCTCACTTTGCATTTAGTGCCCAAAGATGTGGTATATTCAGACCATCCATCTGGAAAGTATGACGGAATGAAAATGTTTTTATCGCAGGGATCAAAACGATGTAGACGTTTCCTGTACTGCTGGATACCAGTATCCCCACCAAATAAAAATTCATAAACATCCCGACGCATAGGAATGGTCTCTGAATATACTGCTTTTAATGGGGCACTAAGTGCTTGCCTCACCATGAAGATTAGTCTGTCCACAGATTCTTGTATTAGGTATCTCGCTGGTGGATGTCTTGACTGCCACCTTAAGAGTGTACCAAGGGGTATCTCATCCTCTGGCAACCACAACCATTTATTAGATGACTTCGTATGATCAGCTAACAAATACAATGTAACTCCTCCCAACTTTCTTATACCAGCAATATGCGACATGATGACAGCCAGAGATATGTTTGCACACTGAATCTAACTGCCTACTGATAAGAGACTAAGTGGGCACAGAACAAAGGAAACAAAAGATTACCTCACTTATTATTATTCCCAACCCCAAGCTGTGAACTACTTAACATAACAATAGACCCTCATTAGGCTGAACAATGGACCTTTAAAGTCTGTGACATCATTTGTTGTCTTGAATAATTTTGCATGTAATTGTAGTCACTACACTGGGATAGACAGGAAATCGCTACTTGACCATATTCTATTGTCCATTTCTGGCAATGATGGTGGTGGGAACTACCAAGCCATTTTCTAAAATAGTGAGCAAATATTTATTTAACCAACACTAACCGTGAAATACACCCATCATTGTCACTGGTGGAATATTTTATATTGCAATTTCTTAATTTTATTTTGTTGAATTGCAATACATTAGTGATACAGTGACCCCTCGTAAATCGCAGTTGTCCTGATCCAAACAAAAAACGCGACATATTGGAGTTCGTGAAGGTGGCGGGGAGGGGGTCATGCGTTGAAAACGGATAAATAGCACTTATACACACATGTGTTCACAGTAAGTTTTCTTCAGTGGAAAACATCACAGCTTCCATGCCCACATGGATTCAACACAATGTAGTGAATTTTATAGAGCTATATCAAAGACCAAGAGGTACGTAAAGTCGCGATTTTACACCCTGTCAAAAGCTTGAGTCATGCGGCTGCCACCCTTTGTATCTCAGTAATTGATGGACAGTATGTGTTAAGTTGTCTCCTCCAGTTAACGTATACCACTTTCATCGTTCGCAACATATTCATAGACTAGTGTCAAGTAATATGAGGGGTTCCACTAGAAACTAGCTAGGATATATTACATCCCAAGTAACGTATATCATTTTTATTACTATACACTCAAATATGAAGTTACACAGATAGAGGAAATGTCTCATGGAATGGACAAATTATTATTGTCTATGTTATATGACAATATGTATTAAAATATACATTCATAGTACACATGCAAAGTAAACAGAATTATGCAAATTTGTATTGGTGGTGGGAATTTCCAAGCCAGTTTATAAAATTGTTAACAAACATTAATTTAAATAACTCTTAACACGGAAAGCGTTTTCTCATTTGTGTGTATTATTTATGCATATAATTATATATCTCATATACTTTATATCATTTTAATTATATATTGTATTCCAGATAACACTGGTTGTTAATGACACAAACTGATGAAAAGTGTTTGCCACTCATCGCAGAAACCAATCATTGCTAAGGCACTCATCGCGAAGCTACTACTAAGGTAAATACAAATCACATCATAGTTCTCGGATATATTCAAATATGAAAATAAAATATGAAAGCTACAGCAAAAGGTTACATCTTAATATTGATGATGATGCTGAATTGTTCGAGTAACCTGCGAAAGTAACAACTATTTAT